CCCCAGATATCTGGGTGAATAACTCCCTCATCTCCTTCAGGCCTTTGCTGAAGTGTTTGCTTAAGTCATTAAATTCCTCAATACTATTTAAAATTGCAACTCCTCACCCCACCTCCATCATTCTCCCTAGCACCCCTAACCCTGGTGTCTTAACATACAATATGACTCATTTATTTATAAAGTTTGTTGTTCATTGTCTGGCTTGTCCTGTTAGAATGCATATGTCCACAAGAGCAGAGATTGTTGTTTCTTTTGTTCACGGATGTCACCCAAGCACTGAGGGCACCGCCTGACACACAGTAGGTGTTTAATAAATACCTGATGAATGAGCACCTTGTGGCTGCTTTTGTGCTCATGCTAAATTTGTTCATCAGTTTTACAGACACAACTCTTTGGCAGTGATCATTTGCAATGGAAAGACATATTTTAATGGAGAAAACTTTAGGCTTAAAAATGTGTATTCCTCTAAGTCAGTGGTTCTCAACCTTGGCTGCACATTAGAATCACCAGGGAATCTTTTTTAAATCCTGATTTCTGGGCCTCATTCCGGAGGAATGAGGAAATTGCCAATGCTCAAGCATTGTGGACCTACAAAATGGCAATTTTATGTGGTTTAACCTAGTAATTCACACAGTTGAAGCCATACTGTGGAAGTAAGTTTTCCTCACATTCTTTTCACTTGTCATTATAACAGCACCACTTGCCCACGTAGTTAGGGATGCGTGGGCCCTTTTTGTGAGCTTGCATTAACAGCACAAATAATTGATGAGCATTAGCATCTCAGCCGGGAGCCCTGCCCTGTAAATCATTCAAACAGTCCACCCAGTGACCAGACTTCCTGTGTCTTGATGTGAATGACAATCTTCAGTGATTCTTCCGGGAAACTCTCCCTATAAGTGCCCCCAGCCAATTGCCTGCGTGCAGCACTCTGGCACCAGATTTCTGCCCAAATGGCAGCTTCTGGGAACGCTGCTAATAACTGTGTCCAGTTGCTCGCCTGTCGTTCCTCTTCACTCGTATGAATCTGGTCCATTACCAGTGATGCATATTGGGTTTGTGGAATTTCTTCCTTTTCAGGGAAAAGGCTCTCATTGGCTTCATGCATTTGTTGTTATTGTTTAGCGATTTCTGGACCAGGTACAGTCTACTAGCACTATTTTAAAACGAGCTTTTAAAGAAAAACACACAAAAAACAAAAGCTTACCAGAAGTACGAAGGCTGCTTTTAGGGCCTGTTACTTTTCATCATAGCAAAGTCCTGAGGAGTCCACAGTACGAAGGCTGCTTTTAGGGCCCTGGCTTTCTCTCGGCGAACATCATCAGAACTATCAGCTCTGTTACTTTTCATCATAGCAAAGTCCTGAGGAGTCCATGGACCATGTGATTCCATTATGTTATGATTCTGCCTCCAAAGTGATTGCCAGGAACAGTAATCTATGTGGGTCTCTCTGGCTCATTATCTGAGACTTGGTAGAACCCTATTCCCCACTGGCCCTCTATTTGCTCTAGATATAGCTGAGTTCACCCACATAGACTAGGAAGATTAAGTGCCTATCTAATAACCCCATTTGCATAAGGTTTGGGAGCTTATGACATAAGGTCAACTGTGATTGCTGATAATAACATCGTGTCACTCCAGGGGCAAGGATCTGAAAGGATGGACTTTATCACTTTGGCCCCAAGAATAATACAGTGACAGGAGACTAGAACGTTTAAAGGTAATCCGTGGCCTGCAAACACATCAAAGGATAAAGGAAATAAGGCAAAAAACCACACAAAATGGAATAATAGAATAATATGTGGTTTCTTTTACGATCAATATATGGTAAGCTACTACACAGAAGGGTAGTATTATAAAACCTAACACCCTGGCTTTGAGGTCAGACAAAGTGGTGCAAGTGGTGTGACCCCGTTTCTTACCAGCTGTGAACAGCTCCTGAATGTTTCTTTTCTGTAAAACTGACCTAAAGACACCCACTCTGTAGAGTGACTGTAAGGATTAAAGACAACACAGGAGTAAAGTATTGATCACACTTGCGCTCAATATTAGTGGTTATTATTGTTATTATTATTTGACGTACACAAAACTTTAAGAATTTCTAATTTAATCTTTTAAATCTTTATTATTGCAAACACAACATTGTGACATTAATAGATAAACTTAAAAATCAGACTATTACATATTCCCATATTTCCTCCTAAGTCTTGACAAATGTGTAGACATCTTTACACAGTGCATTTGTGTTTTCAGCCTTTTTTTACTTAACATTGTACAAGTAAGTTTTCCCCTGTTGCAACACGATCTAATTTAGTGTAAAATAGTTATTATTTCAACAAATATGTCATAACCTAATTAACCATTCTTCTGTTTTCAGACACTTATTTGTTTCCAATCTGAGGGATATTCTTTCCCTTGGTTCCTGTTTCTGTTGTGGCAATTGGAAACACACGATTTTACAAATATTTTGGGTTTTTCCTTAGGTGAACGGATATTTTTTAGCTCGAATTTGAGAACATCGTTTAAAGTAATGGCTGTTGACTGTGGGGAAAGAAAAGGTAGTTTCAGCCTAATTTCTTGTGGAAGGCAAGTTAAGACGCCTCCAAGAAATCCCATGTCCACCAGTGCAGTTTTGTTCTCATCTCAGCACTTGGCAAACTGGTCTGAGGATGAGGGATAATTGAGGTAGGCACTCAAGAAATGGATCTTTAAAGTGGGCTAACCACGCTCGCGTTCTTAATTTCATTCAATCCCCACGCGCAGGCCAGATCCAGGAGGTAGATATTCGTATTATTTGAGGCACAGAGAGGGTAAGGAGCATGCACCAGATCACACAGCGGCTGGGAAAGGACAGAGAACGTCTTTCACAGACCATACATTCCCAGCTTTCCCACTGAGCTTTGAAAAAAAATGTCCCCGACACCACCACACCCTCAGCTAAGAGTGGGTGGGAACGGAGAGGGGCTGAGCACTGGGCTGTCCCCTGCCCCGCCAGGAGGCTCCTCCCCCCGGGCGCTCAGGCCCAACTGGGTTCCGAGCATGCCCAGTGCGCTCTCCATCGGTCTCAGGTTGCCCGCTGGACGCCGCAGCTCCAGGTTTTTTGGGCGACCGGAGGTTGGTGCCGGGCGGGGCGGGGCGTGGGGCGGGTCCTGTTCCTGGGTCTCCCTGGGTCTCCCTGGCTCTGTCGTAAGTGGGCGGAGGCCACTCTCCAGCGGTGTCCACAGCAGTGGCGCTGCTCCGGGACAAGGGTCGAAGTGAGGTACTAGGTGCTGCCCTCTGCCACACTATGGCCCTAGGCCTACCGAACCCCTGGACATCAGGCATCGGGTCCAGACAGGATGGTTCCAGCCATCACTACACTCCTTCATTCACATATTTATTCAACAAATAGTTTTTGAGCACCTACTGTGTGCTAGGCGCTATTGTAGTGTCTGAGACACTGTAGCCAAGACAGGCAGCCCTGCGGTCCCAGAGCTGAAATTCCCGGAGGTGAATAATACACAACGAGAATAAGCTAATTAGAGGAAATAAGTCATTGACCTCATCTCCTGCTACTCTGCGTGCCTTGTCGTTGCCTAATCAGTCCTGCGCCTTAGGGTCTTTGCACTGGCTGTTCCCTCTGCCAGTTTATCTGCATGGCTGAAATGTCACCTGATCTGACTACCTCATTGAAAATTGCACTCTCTCCACCTCCAATTCTCCTCATCCCGTTCTTTTCCCCGTGTAGAACTTATCACCTTCAAGTATACTATATGCTGGTATGTTTATTGTCTGTCACCTGCCTATCCTTCCCCCTCGCCGCGACCCCCTCCCCCCATTCCCCAACTCTATCAGAGGACAGAATTTTTGACTATTTGGTCACCAACGCCTGAAGAACCAGAATAGATGACTGATAACTATTTGTTGAATGAATTAATGGATAAATTGTGATACATGTGAAGTAACGAAAGTGAGGACATGGGAAGTAGAACAGGCAGGGAGCTAACAGGTAAGGTGGTCAGGGAAGGTCTCTTCCAGGAGTTCACTTGTACAATGAAAAGGTGCCAGCCACGAAAAGCTGGGCAGAGAGGGAAAGGCCTGCGGAGGCTGGCCAAGCCCTGAGTGTGTGACGGATAGAAAGGAGCACCTGGGCTGCAGGAGGGCAGGTGTGCGATGAGGTGGAAGAGATGAGGCAGGGGCCCCACAAATCTTGGGAAGGAGGTTTAAGCTTACTAGTGGACGGGGGTGAGCACTGGACAGCAGGACCCTCTGGACAAGACGACTCCTCATTCCACAGGTTTGTTGAGCCGACTGCTTGACATTCCTAGGTATGAAATCACTCAGGGCCGGGCACGTAGTAGGTGCCCAATGAATGGTTATGGGACGAATGGCTGCGTGCATGCGCGAGGGGACTCCGGGCTGCCCGGAACCCGGCAGCAGAGCCCGGGTGGCTGGGAGGCGCGTCCCGGGGAG